ATAAACTGACCTAGTGACTTAAATGATGGACTCCAGCTTGGTGGAGAGTGTGAGGATTGTGCAGGACAGCACAAGGTTCTGATCTGTTGTTCTTTCTTGGTTGTGTTTTGGTTTGTTTTTCTCCCTATCCTCTCCCCAGTTCACTGTATATATATATATTCACTCACTGTTACTGGTAGGAGAACAAGTAAGTTCATCCTGGAGAGTGTGAAGCGAGGCTGCTCCTAGGAAACAAGGATTCTGAAGCTTTGTCTGACATACTCTGGACATGTTGCAAGGCGGGATCAGTCCTTGGAGAGGGATGTCATGCTTGGGAGGGTGGAGGGACAGCGCAGGAGAGGAAGACCCTCAATGAGGTGGATTGATTCAGTGACTAGGCTAACGGGGATAGGTGTGTTAGAGACAGTAAGATTGGCAAGGGATAGAGCAGGGTTTACGGCTGTTGTACACAGGGTCGCTATGAGTCGCAGGCAACTCTACGGCACATAACAACAAGAAGAACATTGTTGCACAATTTTCTCCTTCACCCCCACTTCCCCAGTCCACTTTGCTATGCACCTTTTACTCTGGGCTGTTGTCATAAAAATAATGCCTGATCATATATTCCTTTTAAACAGTTCTTTCCTCTATCTGTTCCAATGCAGTGCTCATTATTTATTCTCTCCTTTCTTAGTTTCCCACACCTTCCCCCCACAATCCCTCATGTCAGTCCTGTTTTATAACAGTGAGGTCTATTGTTCTGAGAGTCATTATGAGTCATAGTTAACTGGATAGCATCTAACAACAACACAAGTGAGAACTCCTTGGTTGGCACAAATAGCTAAGCATTTGAGTTCTAACTAAATGGTTGATGGTTCAAAGGCACCTAGAGACAATCCACAGGTAAGAACTGGTAACTTGCTTCCAAAAGCTCACAGTCTGAAAATACGCTAGAGTGGGTCTATTCTGGGGTAACCAGGAGCCACATTCACTTAAAGACAACTAACAAGAACAATAAATATATTCAAAGTTATTTTCCCCTAAGTTTATAAAAGAATTGCCAAGGAGGGGGGAAAAAAATCTATTTGTGCTCTGTACCTGAGCAAATGCCCTATACACTATTCATGATGCCTTAGACATCAAGTCACGATATATATATTTTTTTTTAATTTTTTTTTATTTTAATTAAGTTTACAGAGACTTTGGATTTCCATTCATACATTGTTGCACACTTTCCTCCCTACCCACCCTTCCCCCAGTTTGCTTTTCTCTTTGAAGAAAAAAAATTTGTTCTCGTTCTTTGTTATACAAGCCTCCCCAGCCCCAAATCCACTTTACTATGCAGCTCTAATTCTGGACTCTTGTCATGAAAATAATACCTAATCATATATTTCTTTTAAACAGTTCTCTCCCTCATCTGTTTCAATTCAGTATTCATTATTTATTCCTTCTTTTCTTAAGTTCCCCCAACTCCAATGTAAGTCCCATTTTACAACAGTGGCACTATGCAGTGTTTGTCCTTTTGTGACTAAGATATTTCACTCAGCATAATGTCCTCCAGGTTCACCCATTTTGTATAATATTTCATGAGTTCTTTGTTTTTCAATGCAGCATAGTTTTCCACTGCGTGAATATACCACAACTTCTCTATCCATTCATTTGTTTATAGGCACTTGGATTGTTTCCAACTCTTTGCTATTGTGAACAAAGCTGCGATAAATATGGGTGTGCATTTATCTACTTGGGTGGCAGTTATGGTTTATTTGGGATATATTCCCAGGAGTGGAATTGCTGGCTCAAATGGTATTTCTATTTGCAACTTTTTGAGAAAGAACCATACAGCCTTCCATATTGGTTGCATCATTTTACACTCCCACCAACAGTGAATAAGTGTTCCAATTTCTCTACAACTTCAACAGCATTTGTTGTTTGCTACTCTGTTAAATTTTGCTATTCTTACTGGGGTGAGATGATATCTCATAGTTGTTTTGACTTTCATCTCCCTTAGAGATAAGGTTTGAGCACTTCTTCATGTGTTTGTTCGCCATCTGAATGTTTTCTTTGGTGAAGTGTCTGTTCATATCCTGTGTCCATTTTGTAACTGGGTTGTTTACCTTTATCTTGTTGTGGTATATATCTTTTTTTTAAAAAAAGAGGATCTATCATAAGAAATCTTAACAATTACATGAAGCATAACGGATTAAAACAAGGAAGTGGAAATCTATCTCTTGTTCTTTCACCTTTCTTCCCATCCTTTCTCATCCAGTAGTGAATTACTTGTGACTAAATGGACACATTAGCTGACCTTATGTTCTCTGAGCAGAGTCTGAAAAAGTACTGTCTCTGAGAACAGCTATGAGCACATCTTCTAATGTCAGAGAGTGGATGTTGGAAGGAAGTTGTTAATTTCCCTGGTACCTCTCATGATTGTGTCCAAGACTCTCAAGAGGCATAAGTAACACCAATCATTAAGACTGAATAGAGAACTATACCTGGAACATTCTGGCAATTCTTAAATGGCTTATGAATACAATTTTGGAAAATTGTTCTAAGATCTGAGAAAAATCAAGTCACAATAATATTTCCTTTGTCAAACAAAAGTTTGACTAGTGACTATATAGATTTTTAGCTAATTTTCTTATATGAAAGTAAAGAAAACACACATCTAACAATACTGGGCACAATTACATCTGCGGGTATGGAAGAGATACTGCTGCTGTTAGTGGTCATTGAGCTGGTACCAATACAAGAAGAACAAAAGGGATCATCAAGTCAAAGCAAAGATTGGGTTCAATCAATCAAAGCAGACTTCATTTTTCTATCCAGCTAAGTACACTCTTCTTCCCGCAACTCGGGAGACATTTCCCCAGATGATCTGAGGCTCATTTTTTGTGGTTAATTGCCATCAAATTTATCCTGGCTCAAAGCAACCCTATGTGCACAGAGTAGAATTTGATCTTTTAGGAAGAGATCACCAGGCCTGCCTTCTGAGGCACCGCTGGTTGGGTTCAAGAGCCAACCTTCCCGTTAGAAGCCCAGTACTTAACTAATTGCACAACCCAGAGACTCCAGGTCAGACAATGACTAAACCCAAAGGGATTCTTGCACCTACTTTATCATCGGAGCTCTGGTGGCAATCTTTAACCGTGTTGTGCTTTTCACCAAAAGTCACGTGGTTCCAAAACACCAGCAACTCCAGGAGAGAAAAATAGGAAGTCTTCTCTCTTAAGGGTTTCCTGCCAGGAGCTCTAGTGGCCTAGTGGCAAGAAGCTGTGCTGTAACGACAAGGGCATGCTGTTTGAACCCACCGGACGGTCTCCTGGAGAAGGAGGGCAATCTCCTTCTGTGCCAGTCAGATCCAATTTGGAAGGCACCAACGCTGGACCTGATTTGATGGTACACAATAAGAGAAAGTATAGGACACCTATAAATGGAAGACAATGGGCCAATATTATCTGCGTGTCAGAGTGACAAGAGACAAGAGAGACCCACCCTGAAAATGCTCACAGTGGCTCACAGTGAAGAGGGCCTGGTGCTGCAGTGGGTAATTGCTCATTTGCAAAGATTGGCCTTTTAACTCATCAGCCACCCTACAGGAGAGAGAGGTGACAGTCGGCTTCTATAAGAATTACAGGCTTGGGAACCTGATGGGACAGTTCTACTCTGTCTTTTAGGATTGCAGTGAGTCAGAATCCACTTTTTAGCAACTAACTGGATTTTTCTACATGGGGCCCAAAGTGATGGAAAATTGGGAGACAGAGATTGCAAAAGGTTGCAATGAAAAAAGAATTTTCTAGGTGAACTCTGTTCAAAACTCCTGTTTGAACTAGTTTGAAGTAGTCACACATTAGCCTTCACATTGCTGGAGTGATCGATAAACCTTCTAAAACTGCCATTTACTCCAGCTTTTTTGTTTCCTCTATACAACAAACAAGAACTCATCAACTTGGAACTGACTCACCTCTGGCCCTCCAGTAGGTTTTCAGAGGCTACAAATTGACACAGAAGGAAATTGCCCATCTTTCTCCCAAGAAGCCCTGGTGGATTTGAACCACCTGCTTTTGAATTGGCAGTACAACTCCTTATCCACTCTAGACCACCAGAGCTCCATTTTTCCTACAGAGTTCTCTAGAATTCTCAAAAACCAAAGCTACTGAAAGGAAAGCTCTTGGATACTCTTGAAACATTAATAAAGCATTGAAATATTTAAGTCCTATTCTCCCAGTCACCAGATGGTGAACTGCTTATGGAGGACAAAGACACTTTGATTTATTTATCCCAAATGTTCATTGCACAAAGGATATGGGGCTCGTGTTTTAACCAGACAAAAATTATTGGATGTCACCACAAAATTTTCTGTTCCATTTTGAAGTGTTAAATTTTACCCTAGAAACAAACAGCATATGCAGTACTTTCAATGAGCGTAAAGGTAATATGTGTCTTAAAATTATGTCAACTTGATGCGCAAATTGCTGCTTAAAAAAAGGAGACACAGCATGACTACTCAATAAGCTTCAGAGGGCGTCTTGGAATTGTAACTACCTACCCTCATTTCCCTCAGACCTGCCGCCAAGAAATGTTAGAAAAACTTGCAAACATCTTGCCGCCTTTTAATTTTCTTCCTTTTTTTTTTTTGCCGCCTTCTGGTTGAATTCTTAATTGTTAGCAAAAGCTTATGCCCCTCTACGCAAAGGTCTGTTTAAATGTAAGAAATCACATTTAAAAAGAGGATTGATAGATAAAGGCTATTAAATACTGTCTTGGATATAAAATAAAGAGATCAATCCCATCACCTCCCATGTCTTTAACTCTTCTCCAGATTGTTCATCTCGCCTAGTGCCATACCGAGAACATGGGAATTATTCACTTACATAATGCATCAACAAATAAATTCAGAAAAGTCATTTATTATTTGGAAAATGAGGTTCACAGAAGGGAGCTCAGAAATCTCTTGCCTCAGCCCGAGTTAGGCAGAACTTTCGAGTTAGGAAGAATAGAGACCAAATGGCCACAGATTTGATTTATATTTGTATCGTGACAATTGTGACGGTGGGTAAAAGAATATAGTCCTCACTCGCATTGGCTGGCACTTCTCGTTTTGGTTGCTTCTGGCTGTCACGATGGAGTTTGGCTCTGTCTTCGTCAACACAACATAATTTCCCGCTTGGACATGATATCTCATATATTTCTCCTATTTTGCATTTCTTTCTGCAGTAGCCCTCTAGATTATCAAAGCATTTCTTGGGTCTCTTCCCATCTGTGTACAGGAAACAACATTGAATCAAAGTCCATTTTTGAAGCAGAGCAATTGCACCCGTCATGGGATCACAGTGAGCGTTTGGGAGTGGGAGAGATATGTGGTCGCCGGAAAGCTAAAGGCCTGTCGTGAACTGTGTGTTGGTAAGAGGAAACTCAGGATGCTCTTCTTGGAAATCCACCCAAATGAAGGACATCCCAGGGGCTGGGCTCCTAGTCAATGACTAATTGATTCTAAGGAGATTAGAATTTATATGAGAACAGAGAGGGCAGAATTCAATTTCTGTTGTCAAATGGCACTACGAGGCACGCTGGCAATGCTCTCTCCCTGGGGCTCCAGAGTTAGCATTCGCTCAGCCATAACCCAGCTCAATGTCCCTTGAGATTACTAACTTGTCACCATCAGCTCATTTCATAGTCAAAATGACTTTAAGAAGAATGCCACAGATTCTGTTTTATGGTAACACTATAATTAGGCTTTGCACGGACAATAGAAATGTCTCTTTGCCAATAGTCACCCTCTTGGCTCCCAGCAATAAATGTTACTGGGAATTCCTTCTCTTATTTAACCTCTACTAGTTGTCTATAACTGATTATCTTGCTTCTCTAAGATTATCTAAGCTCCTAGCTTTCTCCATGTCTCTGTCTCACTCTTTTTCTCTCTTTATTTGTTCTTTAGCTCTCTCTCACCCTCTCTTTCTCTCTCTCTCCCCCCGCCACTTGTCTTCCTTTTCCTTCTTCATCTTTGTCTTCTTCCAGTTCTATATATACCTATCCCCTTAACAACCCTAGATTCTCAGGAATTTTTAGAACACAAAAACACAGCATGCCTTTTTACAGCAAAAAGGAAGCGAGAAACCTTCTGGCACAGCTCCTGTCATAATCTTGGTCCTTCACGTTTGTAAATTCTTATCACTCTAACTCTCCATAATGAATAGTTATACCCATTTGACAGATGAGAAAATTGAGGCTCAAAAAAGAAATAATTCTCTTAGCACAACTAGTAAGTGATCACTGTAAATCTTGGGCTGTTTCCATTATCATCACACTATACCGTGGACCACCAAGAAAACAAATAGGTCTGCCTTGGAGAGAGTGAAACTAAGTTTCTCCATAGAGGCAAGGATTTTGAGACTCTGTCTCACATACTTTGGGCATGTGGCCAGGAGGTACTGGTCCTTGGAGAAGGACATCATGCTCGGAAGGGTAGAGGGACAGCGCAGGAGAGGAGAACCCAAATGAGATGGATTGATACAGTAACTAGGGCAATGGGAATAGATGTATCAGAGTCAGTGAGACTGGCTCAAGACAGGGCAGGCTTCAGAGTTGTACAGGTGACTTGATAGCACCTAACAACAACAATTGTATAGGCTGACGATGACTTTCAATGAAAAGAGGGATAACTTGGTTCCTGGGTGAAGACTGTGTGAAGTGTTATAAAGATAATTCTAGATGGTCGAGTCCATCCTATCTTGGCAAGGACCCCTACGAGGACAGCCTTGATCTGTTTTTACTTCCCTGAACAATTCTCTTCAAAGGCTCATATTCAAATTTGGCAATCAGAAGAGTGGGTATCTTTTATCACATCAACCATCTTTCAATCCCTGACCCCACTCTTACAGACAGTAATATCTCCCAGGATTTCAGGGCACATTTGGACAAGTTACCTGTGTGTATCTCAAACAGCAGGATAATGAGAAGCAGAAACAGCTTCATGTTTACAAAAGAGAGTGTCAGCAGATTGTCTTTGTCCAGTGATCCGTATAACACAACCTTTCAAAGCAAGCCAGAGTCTGGGATTGTTGTCAGTCTTTGGAGCTCTCCTTTTAACCCACACGGACAGACAAGCAATCCAAGTTAACTTCCACCTACACCACCAAATAACAGTCACTGAATGTTCCATGATCTCCTATCTACTCCCCCTTCTTCAGGACGTGAGCAACAACCGTGATTTCTACACCTGCATCATCAGCACATTTTGGTCAAGGCTGGCTGATCATATGTCCTAGTTTGCTGGAACAGTCCTGGCAGATTCAGAGTGTTCCAGTGGTTAATCCATTCAACGTTAGTTTTCACTTTCAAAAAATAACCTGATTAGGAAGATAATAAAATTATCTTAGTCAAGATAGACACATAAGCACACACAGTGATAATTTTTTAAATCTTTTTTTTATTCATTTTCATGAAAGTTTACAGAGACTTAGGGTTTCCAGTCATTAATGAATGTTGGACTTTTCCCCCTGTTCACTCTCCCCCTCCCCATTCTCTCTTCTCCTTGAAAAGCAAAAGAAAAACTCTTTCATTGTTATGCAATCCCTTCCCCCAAGTCCACTCCACTGTGCAGCCTTCATTCTGGACTACAGTGATCATTTTTAAAACATACAAAACTTCCAGATTGTCATTTGAAGAGTAAGATTGCTTTTAGATAAATTAAAGGAGTGTCATAATGTGCAAGGCTGCTAATCAAAATGTCAGTGATTCAAATTCACCAGACGCTCCATGGAGAAAAATGGGCAGTCTTGTCTATGAAGATTTACAACCTCAAAAACCCAAGGGTTTAGGTAGTTTTGAGTCTTTATTTACAGGGATGGGGAAAATTAGCAAAAATACTGGCTCATGGTTGGTTATACAACGTAATTGATATCATTGGTTTGACTGAATTATACAGTTGAAAAACATTGAATTCACAAATGGTGTCTTCTCTGTACTTTTGCAACAGATAAAGTAAGATAGAAGCATGGCTTCTGAGAAGAACTGCTTTATTGTCTGATTTTCAGAAATCTTGCTTTCAGATTCGACCACAGTCTCCAAGTAAAAAGCTCTTTCAAATTATAACAAAATTCTCACATGTGCTTAAATCTTTATAATAAAATATAAATGATATTTTTAAAAGGTTCTTTTTCTCCTCAGTCTTTCTCATGGTGCCACGAGCTATGGATCAAGGGACAGTTCATGCATTCAAAAAACATGCATTAAGTTCCTGTTATGGGAAAATAAAAGTGAGAAAAAAGCGAATCACCTGTGGGTTCAAAGACCAACATCAAAGCTGCACTTCTGGAGGACAGCCAATTGTTGGGTTGCTAGGTAATTCGTACCCATTCATTAGAATAAAGAAGCTCACCACAGCAAGATAAAGATAAATAATCCAACAGAAAAATGGGCACAGGATATATGAACAAACACTTCACCATAGAAGACAGTCAGATGGCTAACAAGCACATGAGAAATGTTCAAAATCCCTAACTCTAAGAGAGATGCAAATTAAAACAACTATGAGATATCATCTCACCCCAAACAGAATATCAAAATTTAACAGAACAGCAAGCAACGAGGTTGTGACGAGGTTGTGGAGAAACTGGAACTCTTATTCACTGTTGGTGGGAGTGTAAAATGGTGCAACCCCTGTGGAAGGTGCTATGGCGCTTCCTCAAAAAGTTGCAAATAGAGATGCCATTTGACCCAGCAATTCCACTACTGGGAATATACCCCAAAGAGAGCATAACTGACATCCAAGCAAATATATGCACACGCATGTTTATTGCGGGTTTGTTCACAATAGCAAGGAGTTGGAAACAACTTAAGTGCCCATCAACAGACAAATGGATAGAGAAGCTGTGGTATATTCACACAATGGAATACTATGCTGCCTTGAAAAACAAGGAACTCATGCAATACTATTCAAAATGAGTGGCTCTGGAGGACATTATGCTGAGTGAAGTATCTCAGTCACAAAGGGACAAATACTGCATGGTGCCACTGTTGTAAAACAGGACTGACATCGGGCTTAGGGGAGACTGAGAAAGATGGGTTCAATAACGTGTATTGCATTGAAACAGGGAGAAAACTGTTTAAGAGGGATATGTGATTAGGTATTTTTGTCATGACAGAAGTCTAGAGCGAAGGCTGCATAGT